ATTCAAGACATGCAAATGGAGGAGTTTCCCACACACCCAGGGCAGGGTGCTTGGTGAGGGGTGGCAGAGCCGTACAGCAAACACCCTTTGAGAGCCAAACGTGCGTGCCCTTTAACCCTTCCCCTTCAGGAGCGTACAGTGAGGGAATACTCGGGTAAACACAGAAACACCTGCAAAAATAACTCACACATTCGCCAGCAGGGAATCAGTCAAACCAACCAGGCCCAGGCTGTGGAATGTTACGCAGCGGTAAAAATCACGAGGTGTGCACCTTCCGATGGGAAAGATGGACATGACCTGTCTCAGCGGGAGAAAGACAGCTGCAGAAGCTTCACACAATTTAGCCCGATTCCCACAAATAAACGGAAGAAAGAGCAGGAGGCAGACAGGTTTGCACCGATGGAGGAAGGCACTGAGACCCTGCTTCAGTCGGGCACGAGTCTCCCCCAGAGAGAGGAGGAGGCAGGCAGAGGACTTCACTTTCTATGTAGTCTTTGCCCACAGAGTTTGATGTTTTGTAATTTTCCTGTATATTTTCTGTCATCTGAAAGCCTGAAAAAAACAGCCAATTAAAAAGCTGCCATTGGTGATGAGAAAGAACGAACCTACTGCCATGGATGGAGGAGGGGCGTCTTCAGAGTGGCCCCTGGCCCTGCACCTTCTGCCTCCGGTCAGGGCTGAGTCTCCTCAGCGGCTGAATATTTCCCACCTCAGGCAAACGGACACTAAGCTCCTGAGTCAGATAAAACAGTGACTCCCTGGAGGGCTGTGTGCCCAGCCCCTTTCCCCCTTCCCACCTGCTTTGCTCTTAGGAAAGTCACCAGAGGCTGGTTGGTCTGGCTCACTCTAAGTTTGACTACTTGGGAATGTGGCTTTTACCAGCTATATCTCGCCCGACAACACAGCCATTTGGTGGAGCGTGGAGTTCACTAGAAATATATTTTATTTGCTTGTAGCATAAATGTGGCTAAGGCTCAGCACACACAGAGATTCGCATATATGTGCACATGCAGGCACACACACGTGTGCACACCCACCCCCCACGCACACACCCACACATGCGTGTGCGGCATGTGAACACACACACACTCCTGCATGCAATCCTGCTCTATTAACAGGTTCTTGGGCTCTGCAGAGCTGACAGAGGCCGTGTTGGGTGCGGCAGGACAAGGCTGGGTGTGCAGGCGCCTCCTCCCCAGGGCACTGCTCACACGTCACAGCTGCCAGACGCAGGCTCCCCAGCGGCGACCCTCTGACAGGGGACTGACTTCAGGGAGGACTGGCTGTTTCCAACGTCCTCCCTGGTGCCCTGTGGCTGGCGGGACCCTCTCCTTCCCCATCCAAGCTCTGTTTTCATTTGAACGCAGCAGCCACGGCTAACACGCCAAGCGTCCCCTCCAGGGCCTCAGGTCTCGTCAGAGCAAATTCTTACTTAGCGTGCAGATGTGAAGTCAGGTTTTATTGAAGTATTTACACAGCTCATTCCTGCCACATGGAGGACATTCCACACACAATGACAGTTAAAGACAACTGCTGACCGCGGGGTCCCACGTCCCCTGCTCACCAGGCATCTGTTAGAAACAGCTGGGAGCTTGCCCCTCTACGTCCTCGGCTCCGCTGAACAGTGGCACACACGTGGCTGAGGGGAGTGCATCCCCTGGGCACACCTGATCCAGGCAGGAGGAACCAGTCCTCGGCTCCGCTGGACACTGGCACATGTGCAGCTGAGAGGAGAACGTCCCCGGGCACACCTGATGACTGATGACCTCCCACACCCAACCACCGACTGTCAACCACACAACCAGTGCCTGGTAACCGGCTGACGCGACCGCTCCCGCCCACTTCCTCAACGTCCTCTCTGGGTCACAGCTCAGTGTCCGCACCTGGCCACTGACCCAACACCTTCAGTTACCACAAATCTTTGTTTCCTCAAAACCCTGAGAGTGGGTGGGGGATGCTCCCTTTTGTCCTTTTAAAGCCAGGCAAGGCTGGGGGTGGGTCTGTCCAAACTCTACAGGGGAGGAGCAGCTGAGGGGCTGCACTGAACCTGGGGTCTGCTGCGTCCACCTGCCTCCCTGTCGCTGCACTCCACACACTCAGCCATCCTTTCCTGGGCACCTGGCCTGGGTCACTTGCTCCCCAGCATCAGTCTCTGATGGAGCCTTTGTGGCCCCCAGAAATGGTGGGTGAGTTGTTCTCTAGATCCTCTGACCACCTCACCTGCGTCTCCAAACCAACCTCGGGTTCATTCTCCCAGAAGTCCAGGGATGAGCTTGCTGCAGCAGAGAAGTGTGGCCAGCGTGGCCCAGGGCGTGCAGGATGGGACGTGACTGGCAGGGTGTGCAGGACAGGCTGCAGACCGTTGGGGATTGAGGGGTCTCTGGACACTGCTGCTTTGCCATCCTAACAGCCCCTCTGTCTGGCCTCATTTTACTGGGGACGTGGGTTTTGCAAACCAAGGTGATGCTGACAGGATGTGTGAGCTTCCCTGTGGCTGCCTCCTGGCATGGCTGTCCTGGCCTTTGGCACCGTGCTCCAGCTGGGGTCTGTGATGCCACCAATGCACGGGAACAAGATGTTCATTTTGAAGGGAAAAGCGGAGTCAAATGCACTCACAACAACTGAGACCTGCAGTCGAGGCACCTGGGCCAGGGCTGGGCAGCCTGCTGAGGTCCGTCGAGCGCTGTGGGGACCAGCGTTTGGCACAGGCGTGGAGACTGCGCCCTGATGTCCCCACCCTTCTGCAGCCAGCTCAGCAATGTCCCCAGACACCCTCCCCACGTCTGCAAATAACCCTTCGCCTGAAGGAACAGCCGCTAGGGCTGCTGAGCGCCAGCTCTGGGGAGGAGGGCTTGAAACAGTTTTATATGTTGTTAAAATAATTCTCCATTTGGACAGAAATGATTCTAAGATTATTTTTGTTAAAAAGAGAATAGTTCCCACCCAGCTGTATCCTGCGCCCCACATAACGCCATCACCAGGGACCTGCAGGCCTGGCTGCAGCTAGCCTGGGGCTGAGCGTCCGGCTCTGTGGCTCCCACAGGGCGGCAGGTGACCTCCTGAGGCTGCTGAGGGTCCCACGAACACCTGTGTGGAGACGCCCCCTCTTGCATGACCTTGCTCTCCTGATCTGATGGTCTCCTCAGCCCACCTTCCTTGGGGAGGCAGAACAGCCCTGTGGAAAAAGTTGGGTGGGGCAGGGCTTGGGCGGGTGGGCCGGGTGGGGGCCCCTGGAGGGAGGAGGGCTGCCCTCCTGTTGATTTCTGCTGGTCCTAACGTCAGGGGGGCCCTGAGTGGCTTCCCTCTGTCCTGCAGATGAGGGGGCTGCCCTTACGGGACCTGGGAGGCCGCCTGATGTGAGACAGACGGCACCCGGTGGGCGCCCCGGCTCGTGCTGGACCACACAACTGCATTTCCACATTTGCTCCTTGGCTCCCCTATTCTCTTGGGCCGGGCGCGGTGGTCATGCCTGTAATCCCAGCACTTTGGGAGGCCGAGGCGGGCGGATCACGAGGTCAGGAGATCGAGACCATCCTGGCTAACACGGTGAAACCCCGTCTCTATCAAAACTACAAAACAATTAGCCGGGCGTGGCGGCGGCGCCTGCAGTCCCAGCTACTCGGGAGGCTGAGGCAGGAGAATGGCGGGAACCCGGGGGCGGAGGTTCCAGTGAGCCGAGATCCGGCCACTGCACTACGGCCTGGGCGACAGAGTGAGACTGTCTCAAAAAAAAAAAAAAAAAAATGGATCCCACTATTTCGCTGAAACACATTTTGAACAAGATTATCTAAATGCTGGAGTTTACATCGAGTCAGTGACAACACGACCCCCGTTCTAGGTATGCGGCTTAGTGGACAAGCTTCAGGCGCCAGGACCGCGCTGGCCCGGCCGCCGGGGGCTCGGGCCTCTGGGAGGAGGAAGCGCCCGCGGGGGGCTCGGGCCTCTGGGAGGGCGCCCGCGAGCTCAGGCCTCTGGGAGGAAGCCGCCCGCGGGGTGGCTCCCAGGCCTCTGGGAGGAAGCGCCCGCCGGGCTGGGCGGCGCTGGGAGGAAGCCGCCCGCGGGGCTAGGGCCGCTGGGAGGAAGCACCGGGGGCCTCGGGCCGCTGGGAGGAGGAAGCGCCCGACTCAGAGCCTCTGGGAGGAAGCCACTTGCAGGGCTCAGGCTCTGGGAGGGGAGCCGCCCGCGGGGGGGCTCGGAAGCCGCTGGGAGGGGCGCCATGACTCAGGCCGCTGGGGTGAAGCGCCGCAGGGCTCGGCCGCTGGGGGGCGCCGCTGAAACAGGAGGCCGCTGGGAGGAGGAAGCGCCCGCCGGGGGCTCAGGCCGCTGGGAGGAAATGGCGTCAGCCCCATCCATGCGCTTAGCCGGGCGAGAGGCAGGGGCAGGGCTAGATGACCGACGTCTCCGTCTGCAGGAAGGACGAGCGCTGGAGCCTGGTGCAGGCTGCAGGCCGCTCAGCAGCAGCCCCACGGGCGGGGCGGGGCGGGGCTAGATGACCGACGTCTCCGTCTGCAGGAAGGACTGGGCGCGGGAGCCGCGGTGGAGCTGCAGGGCGCCCTCCGAGCCGTTGCGGGAGATGGAGGAGCCGCAGACCCGGTAATCCCGGCCCGTGGACGGGGTGGGACACCGGCTTCGCCATTTTCGCTTCAGCTCGCACTGCACCTGGGGAGGGGAGGGCACCGGGAACGCCTGTGAGCCTGGGCAGGGGCGTGCGGGTGCTCTGGGAGCCACGGAGCCTCCAGCTCTCCCTCCCGCCTAGTCCGGTGTGGAGGGTGCGGCGACATCTGTGTTCCCATCAGACGGACAGAAACAGAAACGGCTTCGGGGAAGAGGCTGGAGGGAGCGGAGCGGGAACTGGAGGCCACATGAGGGGGGGGTCGCAGCCACGCTAAGGCTGTGCATGGGTGGTTCAGGCGTCCCCACTGCTACGGCAAGCGCTGTCCCACAGTCTGAGATAGTGAATTTGTTTTTTCTGGAAAGATTTTCCTTAGCAGCCGGGGATGTGACAGTGCTGGGCCTCCATCTCCTTCCCTGTTCCCAGCGGGTAGGGAATGTTAGCCCTGGGAGGGGGTGGGGATGAGTGAGGGGTGCCCGGAAAGCAGAGGAGGGAGAAGGACAAGTGGCACCATACAGGCTCAGCTTTGCAGAAGCCGTGCTGGTGAAAGGTGCATGTCAAGCAAAGAAAGCGTCAGCGACCGCAGCGTGGGGCGGGAGGGTCGGGGTCAGGGGACGGGGTGAGGCCGCTGGAGCAGCCCAGAGACAGCACCCCTGGCTGGGGATGAACGCAGGGCAGAGCTCGGTTCCTGGCTTCGTCCCCAGGGACTCACAGAATGCTCTGCAGCCCCACCCCCCAACCCAAGCCGGGCTTTCTGGGACTCACAAGCTGTGCAGGAGCAAGCCGCTGTCCATGGGGAAAAACGGATTCTGTCTAGACCCGGCTGGGAGCTTTCCCAAGAGGGCTCTGAGAGGGATGGCAGTCGATGCTACTTGGGGTGCACAGAGGGAAGGCAGGGTTTGGAAGCTGGGCCCAGAAGAGTGGGTTTGCCTGTGTCATTGTGGGTTCTCTGATGGGGACACAGAGAACTGTGGGGGCCTGGGCAGTGAGTCCAGCCCACAGAAGACAGGCGCGTGTGGGGACGACGGCAGCAGGCTGGGCAGCATTTCAGGAACCAACTGAGCACCTGCACGTGGTTCCAAGGCAGCCATGAACTTACCTCACTGTTCAGGAAACAGTAGAGGACGGCCACCACCAGGCCCTGCAATGAGAAGAGAAGGTCAGGCAGGACCCGCGCTCGGGGGAGGGTGGCCGCCTCTGCATACCTACCTGGAACGACCCGAGGCACAGTTCAAACAGCATCTGGTATTTGAAGGAGATGCTGATGGGAAACACGGCAAACACCATGTAGTGGACGCCAAACAGTGGGATGAGCAGGAGCGTGGACTTGGCCAGCCTCCTGCACGGAAGGAGAGAAGCCAGCTCAGCTGCGGGACCTGCAAACCCACTGCACGCCTGGCAGGGTCTTTCTCAGGACCGGGCAGCTGGGTGTGGGAGGGGCTCCACACTCCCTCTCCACCACTGGAATCGCCACCTAACAAGAAAATCCACTGCTTCTTTACGTTTATGTCTGAGGCCCCTGTGCAGATCCAGCACTCAGGGCCCGGGACCGTGCATTCCAGAAAGTGTGTTTCTCCCAAATTCCCTCACAAGGACACACGCTGTGTTCTGGGGTTCATGGCTGGCAGGGGAAAGATTCCCTGTGAATGACCCAAAACCTGCACAGGCCCTGCCTGGGAGCCCGGCCCATCCTGAGGCAGGCACCGGACAAGAAGGCTGGCCTCCACCGTGGCCATGTGCACGTTTAAATGACGAGGCCCCATCCTGCTCCCGGACCAGCAGCTCACAACAGCTGGGCTCTGTGGGAGCCAGGCCCCTCAGTCAGCGGCAGGGACCCACCTCATTCCCTCTATTAATGCATCTGAAGTTTGCTGGAAAGGAGGCCTCCCTGTGGCTGAGCTCCTGGCCCCTGTCCAGGGAGGTTTTGCTACTTCTGTGACCAGAGAGTTACACAGAAAGGACCTCGTGTGGCCTCAAGGGTGTCTCGGCCTTTTCTGTTGTCCTGGAAAGCGAACCGATGTTATTGTCCCCACTTAATTTTGTTTCCAAAATAAAAGCATCCATCTCCGAGTCCTATTTAACAAATACTCCCCAAGAACCAATGCAAAGGTCAGCAAAGAAGCTAAACAAGATTCACAGGAAATCCAAGTCCAACCTGAAGGGCAACCAAGAATGACTTATTCTGGGGTCTCTGCCACGCAGACACCACCAGCTTCCCCTGACCAGGGACAAGGTCATGCTGCCATGCAGGGTCTGACATGGGATCCCATCCCTCATGTGGGCAGGCAGAGACGCATACTCCCTGGATTTAGATACCACATGGCAGAATTAGATTCTCTGGTTTACCAGACTCTTTTGCAATACTCTGGTGCCAGGCAGCAAATGTCCTGCAAATACAGACTGCATTGATCCTCCTAACCTTAGTAACATTATTACTTCCATCCTACAGATGAGGAAGCTGAGGCATGGAGTGGCAAAGTGACTTCCCTCAGGGCACCGGCTGGTATCTGCACCCAGCTTTGGGGCTCTTGGCCATGCTCCTGTCTAACCACCCCTCCCCAAATCCACCCCTGTTTTCTAAGGTGGGAGAAAAGGGAAATGCAGGCCAGGCACCCTCCTAGGCCGGATGGTGGGGTTCCTGCGCCCTTCCATCCCGGCCAGTCTGAGCCCAAGGTGCCTTCTGGGCTGGGCCAACCATTTCCACACCAAGTCAGTGTTTAGTTTATACTTGAATTTTAGTTTTTACCTTTTTTTTTTAAAAAAAATAAATTCTTGATATAAATTTATGGAGTCTTTGCATTACTCTATAGATTCCCTGGATCATCATGAATTAGCTGGATGACTGGGGGTGACTGGCTGAACATCTGTCCTGTCTTCACCTACTGAAGGGAGCTCACGATGCCATCTTCATGTAATCACACGGGCAGGGAACACTTTCTGAATTGTTATTAAGTATAAGGCCTGCTATTAGGGTTGGCAGTAGACACACGGCCATGGACCATGTGGTCTGAGGGGGGACAGAATTAAATGTAAAATAAAAATAATGTGTGGCCAAGGAGAAAAAGACAGGCTGTATAACATGCAAGTGGGCAGATGCTTAAACAAGCAAGCGCACTAAAGAGGACTTTCTTCTGGCCTTCAAATAAAAGAAATGGTGCCTGACTTTCACAGTCGCCAAGGCCAGAAGTGCCCCGGCTGAGTCCTCCCAGGTCGTCAGGTGCAGAATCACACCCTATCTAGACGGTGGGGGTTTTAAACCACCAAATTTTGGAGTGATTTGTTACTTAGCCAGGGAAATGCTGTCCAGTGCCTCTCTGAGCTTTGGGCAGGAACAGAGCCCTGGGGTCTAGCCTCGAGCCCTGACCCGAGTCGCTGCACCTCCAGGGCCTTCCTGGCAGCGCAGGGTTTCCTGTCTCCATACAGCATCCCCACCAGGGACGGCCAGGCCGGGACACACACTCACTTGTACTGAGACTGGTCGTTGCCACCGACATCCGGGGATGTTAACTTCTGCAGCAAAATTCGTATAATACTAATGAAAAGGACAAAATTGACCTGCACAAAAGAGACAATAAGTTCGTGAAACGGATACGTGGATCCCTAATTTGCCCTGAAGTCCACCTGATTTCGACCCTCCCCTCCACTCCCTCAGTCCCTCCCTTCTTCCCTGGGAACCGCCTGTGGGGGTCCACAGGCCTGAAGGGGCCCTTTTCCGGGAAGGCTGAGTGGATAAGTGGAATGGGGTCATTTTAATAAAGGATGGCAGGCCTGCTGTCTGCCTAAGTGTGTGGCTCCACAGGTAATTCACGCTTCAACAGGGGCGACTTACAATGATGGAAATTGAAATCGGTATTCGTATGACCCACCAGGGCACACTGTGGTCGTTTGTATCCCAGCAACTGTCGGAGAGAGACGGGAAATCAGGTTACCACCGACCACTTTTGCAAGACGGGCACAGGAGAATGAGCGCCTGCCTTGTGCCTGTGCCTGCCAGTGGGGCTGTCTGCCCCTCCCAACCTGCCCGCTCCCCCCCCCGTGGAAGCACAATTTCTCTGCACTGACAGATCGTAAAGGAATCTGTCCCAGCGAGTGACTGTGTTTCGTTTTATGCTTCTCAAAACAATGGTCGGCTTGTGAGTAGGAGGAATAGAAGCACGGCCCCAGAAGCCGGGACAAGGGCAGGACGGCTGCTGACGCCCTCCACTCTGAGCATGAAAGCGTGTCGGCCCCTTTCTGCCGACATCAGGGGAAAAGAACCTTCCTCCTGAAAATTAGCTTCCCCTCACCTCCCAAATGGTTTGCATGTGTATGGCAAAGGTTTTAAAACGTCCTTAGAGTGACTGAGGTGGGTGAGCCGCATTTCATTTTGATTTTCAGTGCATGGGGTGTCTCCAGCAGGAAGCTGTGACCCCTGGCTTGTAAAACGCCTCAGTGATTCTCCCCAGGGTCTACACCCTGCGCTGGGAGTCTGCAGCCCTCCCATAAAGCAGAAACTCCATCACAGACCTGGGTCCATGCAGGAACCTTCCGGCTGGTGCAGTCTCAGACTGGCTGAAGGGGACCAAGGGGGACCAGTCCTTAAGGCCAGAAGTGCCCCTGCTGAGTCCTCCCAGGTCGTCAGGTGCAGAATCACACCGTAACTAGACAGTGGGTGTTTTAAATCACCAAATCTTGGAGTGATTTGTTACTTAGCAGTGGATAACCGATGCACACTGAGGCCCTTTAGAAGGCAGGATATTTGTGCCGGAACCACGTGTGCTCATGTCTGGGCTGCAGTCTCACTCAGGGCAAGCGCAGGGGAGAATCGCTCCGGGCCGCACAAGCCAAGACCGGTGCTTAGGGAGTGCTGGGGGGCCCTGCAGCCACCATCACCTGACCTTCCACTTTGCTACAGGTAAACAACGTGCAGGGCACTTGGTTTTCTTCTGTGGACATCGCTGTGCCCACAGAAGGGGCTCCCAGTCTCTGCCTGGTTTATCCCAATCTCAACTATGCTGCAAAACCTGGCTCACTTCCTGTCTCCTGCACGGGGCTTCCTCCAATACTCCAACCTCATAGGATTTCTCCCCATGAATCGCCCAGAAGCTTCCTGCGTGGCTGTCGGTTGGCCGCAAACGCTCCCTGTCCTTCCAACCAGGTAACCTCCTGGCTTCCAAAGGACTTCGTGTTGCCAGATGTTGCCGGGCCCATTTTCGAGGTTGCGGTCTGGGCATGGACTCACCCGGTGTCTTCTAAGTAGAGCCTGGCTGCAGTCCACGCACCGATGCATACGGTGGGGAGGCCTACAGAGAGATCCCTGGTTACGCGGGTGGATCAGAGCGGTGCACATGCACACAGGTGGGTGCCTTCACCAGCAAAACCCTCAAGGACACTCGTTCTCCCGGGAATAATAAGTGCAATCTCTTGTTTAAAGTCTTTGTAAATATTTACAAGTTTATGCTCATGCCTTAGTAAGCAGTGAAGATAATTAAACACATGCTTGAGAGCCGAGAATCTGAGACTTGCCATTCCACATGGGAAGTGTTATTACTGAAGGCCACGGAGTTGAACGTGTGGAGGAGGAGATGTGTTCACTGATTTTGCGGCCACCCGTGGAGCTATCGGCTGCGTTTGCCTCATCCTGTCCATGAGGACGTCCCGAATTTGCACCCCTTTCCAACCCTGGGCAAGGCAAGGCTTCCGCTACCTGGTATGGCCTCAACCCCTCTCCTCTCTGATCCCCACCCTCAGTGAAAGGTGAACTGGGTAGAGGCGGGGAGGAGGACACTGTTAGCCCAGTTTGAATTGGGGTAAAAGGGGCCAGGAATGGGAGTATTTTAAACTAGGTTCCTGGTTACCAGAAATATTAACGTGTTGTTCGTAGGGGCCTCCAGTCATCCTAGAAGAGCTCTTCATGATATGACCCTGACATGCATTCTACAGGGGCGGCAAAGTGTTTTTCTGAGCTGAAAGTGATTGTGGTGTTTGGTCAGATGGGATGGGATGGAGGTTTTGTGGGTCGGAAGGGCCACGCTTACCCCATCCGATCAGGAGGTAGGCCAGGAAGCACCTTCCGGGGGGGAGCACCGCCACCAGGAGGGTGTGGAGGTACAGCCCCTCCACCAGCAGCCAGAAGAAGTTGGCCATGATGCAGTACTGCAGGAAGACCAGGCTCAGCTTGCAGCCCACCTGGAAACCGCAAAGAGAGGAGAGCATGACCTCATCCGGTAACAACAGCTCCAGCAGGCAGTGCCGCTGCAGGACACAGGGCGCTTGGTGTCTGTGCAAGGAAGGAGGAGACACCGGTGCCATCAGGAAGGGAAGTGATTAACACAGTGGCCAGGGTGCTGGCCAGGAATGCCTGCTGGTAGCACCGGGCCCTTTGTATCCGCGGCTCCAGGGCAAGATCACTGCAGAGGCAACTGTGAACAGCCCTCCCTGAGACGAGCTTACTCACTGTTGCGGGCCAGGAGCTCACTTACTGCTGGAAGGTCTTAGGCCACACAGCTCCCTGGCCCTCCTGTTCTTGGCCCCTCCCCTCGGCTCCTCCACTTCCCCTTCTCTGACCTGCTTCCCCACAGGAACCCCCCGCAGTGGTCCCGCCAGCCAGCAAAGAAGAACCCGAAGAGCCAGCAGGAGGTCCCAGGGGCGAGGTGTGGGTGGCAGGGGCCCTGCAGCTGCCCAGGACTCTGGCCTCTGTCCCTTTGTGTGAACAGAGCACGAGTGCAGGTAGAGGGTGGGGCACCCGCCAGTTGCCCTCACTAGCAACTGTGCCTGGGAAGAGAAAACAATGGACCCACACCAGGCCCCCAGACTTTTCTTTTAAATTTTTGACAACTATGTAAGTTCCTCAATTGTAAAAAACTGGTTTTAATATTGGGTAACTTAATAAAACATGAAAAAATAAAGGGGAAAACAAGAGAAATCTAGCAAATAAAATATTTTCTGACAAGATTTTAAAAGGATTTTCACTGGGAAAGGATTACATATTATATAAAATAAACCTATTTTAATCTCTCAGACCTTCATCTAACTAAATGTACCAGGCATTTCAGCTTCATGAGCAACCACGAAACTGCTACTTTTAATCACTAAGCTTATATAAAGTGTGCTGAAAAATAGTATTTTCATTTCCATTCTTATTTCTATATTTATGTTCATATATACCTATAGACATATGTAGGTAGATATACACATGTACAGGCAGATATAGGTATCTGATACATATATCAGATGGATACACCTATACATATTTGTAGGTGGATATACTTATATATATGGGTGGATATACTATATACATATAGCAGATGGCTATCCCTATACATATACATGGGTGAATATATTTTTACATATGGGTAGATATATATGGGTGGATATACTTATACGTGTATATGGGCGGATATACTTATACTTTCATATGGTGGCCTTTCAATTTGGCCTCCAGGGTCCTGAGAGCCACTGAGCCCTGCAGGCTGCCCCTGACCTTCCCAGCGCTCTGGATCTGCCTTGCCGCCTTCTGCTTTTTCTTTTTCCTAAGAACAGCAGAGTAGGTGCTTCATTTTCTGAGGCACTGCACAGGTGAGAGTTACCCTTATTGTCCATCTTTGCCACCACAGTGAGCCGAGCGCCTGCACGCGGATCTCGTGTGTCAACACCTGCTGAATGGACACTCAGATCCCAGCAAGTTCTGCCCTGGGCATCAGGACAGAACCTCTTCCGTGGAAAGACACACATGATAACACAGCCGTGAACACAGGAGAGTCACAGTAAGTCCATTTGTGGCTTATTGCCACTCATTTGAATAGTAAAGTGAAATAAATCAAGTTTTAAAATCTCTGGGAGGTGGGATTCTGGGAGTTGGTGACCCATCTGGATGCAACGTGCCTTCCTTTGTCTCTCGGTAAAAGACCGCGTCTTAAACACAAGGAGTAAATTGCAGATGAACCAAGACACAAATGAACAATCTCAGAATAGAAATCTCTTAACTAAGATGGGAAATCTGAAATGAAAACAAGAAGTGCTAAAAGGATAGAAGGCAATTTTGGTTATATAAACTTTAAAAGCTTTTGGATGGCAAAAATACCATAAAAATACAATTGACAAATGATGAATTTGGAAACATATTTACAATGGAAAGGACAAATGTTTAATTTTTATGATACCAATATTACAGATGAATGTGGTGTTTTAGAGGGCCGGAACAGCTTGTGGAAAGATGCCAGTTCTCAGCAGGTGCCCTGCCCCGGACTGTGCATGAGAGCCACAGAGGCAGTGCCAACGCCACCAGACAGGCAAAACGGCAAAACCAGTCAGGTCTTTGGGCTCTGGTGTGATCCTACATGCAGCTGTCAGCTGTCTCAGCCTTTTGGAAGGCAACCTAGCAAGATAGATTTACTACAATTTACAAATACACAGGCAGCTGGGTGTGGCAGCTCACACCTACAATCCCAGCACTTTGGGAGGCCAAGGTGGGTGGATCACTTGAGGTCAGGAGTTCAAGACCAGCCTGGCCAACATAGTGAAACCCCGTCTCTACTAAAAATACAAATAAAATAAAATAAAATAAAATTAGCTGGGTGTGGTGACGCCTGCCTGTGATCCCAGCTACTCAGGAGGCTGAGACATGAGAATCGCCTGAACCTGGGAGGTGGAGGTTGCAATGAGCTGAGATCATGCCACTGCACTCAGCCTGGACAACAGAGTGAGAGTCTGTGCCAAAAACAAAACAAACAAAACAAAACAAAAAATAAAAATATGCATGCCCTTTGCAGTGGGCGGGAGGCTTCTTTATGCTGCCAGAATTCATGTGTTGAAGCCCACCCGCTGTGGAAGTGTTAGTGTGTGCAGCCTTGCCACAGGGGTGGAGTCTTGCGATGGGATTAGTGCCCCTGTAAAGGGACCCCAGCAACATCCCTCGCCCCTTCCACCACGTGAGGACACAGAGAAGTCAGACCCGAATCTGGTGGTGCCTTGGTCTCAGGCCTCCAGAACTGAGAAGCAAATGTCTGCAACAGCAGCACACGAGGACGGAGACACCCTCGGACCTGGCAGCCTCACTGGCGAGTTCCATCCGACAGAAATAAGAACACCTGTCCATAAGACACATGTCCGGTGATGCCCGCAGTGGCAAAAGAGAAAAATAAAGGGCAGAGCAGACCCCACACCGGGGGACGGGCTACGTGGAGAACGCCACGCTACACGAGGGGCTGTGTGCCGCCTGAAAGCAGGCACCGACCTGGTGGGGCCCTGGGACATCCTGCTGAAGGAGCAAAGAGGATGCAGAAGGAGTGTGCTGAAGACGATTCCATTTTCTTTTAAATGGTAACAAAAACATCTCTGCATTTTTTCCCATGTGCCCATTCACCAAACAAGCACACTGTGAGGAAGGGAGCTTTGGGGAATGACAAGGCCTCTACTGACTTCATTTCCTACAGTGTGACCTTCACACCTCATTACACTGGCTCCAGAGCACCGCAGGAGGGGCCTCCAGGGCCAGCTGCCACCCACAGCCTTGATGTGAGGACCCCCAGCCAGGAGACCCACCAAGGCCCAGTGCCCAATCAGCAGCTGGTCTCTCCTCAGCCTCGTGGCCTTGTCGGGGAGCCGCTGTGTGAGCGTGTGAGTACGTGCACACGTGCATGTGAGGCAGGCAGGACTCAGCTTAGGAAGCCTAGGGGTGTGCCTCTGGGAGTCCCACAGACCCGGGGGAACCTGCGGTGGCCGACAGTGAGAATAAAGGGCAGGTCCGCTCCATGTCGAGGGACAGCCCAGGGCCCCAGAGGAAACTGTGCCTCTGTCTAGGCCGCGTGGAAGGGGCCAAGAAGAGAACTTTTCATGTTCTTGGCTGATCCTGATGTCATGAGAAAAAGACCCTGCACCTATTTTGTGGGGGGCTGCCCCAGGTGTTCTGCTTGGGAGGATAATCTTGGTTTGGTGAAGTCAGCTGGGAACAAAAAATATACAAAAAAATGCAACTGGAAGGAAAGATATTTTTCCTGTCCCTTATGCTGAGGTCTGACTATATTTCTGGCTGACTTGTTTATTTAAAGCCTGAGCATTCTTTAGAGGACAGCAAGAGGGAAGACCCAGCTTGGCTCCTCTCTGGCCTCAGGCATCTCCCCTCCCTCCTGTCCTCTGTCCCCTCCCTCCTCCGTCGGTCACATGCTTTTCCCTTTGCCTCTGCTTTCCCCTTTTGGGTACTAGAGTCACGGGGCATCTGGCATAAGGGGCAAAGCCGACTCCCTCTGTCCTCACAGAGCTCGAGGATGGGAACAGGCTCCGTGCTGCTGGGTGTCGTGGGGCCCCACCTGCACCTGGGCTTTGGATCCCGAGACTCCAGGCCAGTTGCTGGGTTTCCCTCAGCTCAGTTTCCTTGTCTGTGAAATGGGGCAACAGCTCTTTTAAAGGCGAATGAGGGTTCACCCACAGTGTCCACAGAAACAGCCCGGCATTTAGAGGAGGCTCTGTGCGGTGTGTGGGAGGCCAGGCCCTCCCAGTGGGGCAGCCACGCTGGCTCAAATCCACTCTGCCTCGGAGGTTCTGGGCACTCCTCTTGGACTGAAGCGGTAGGGGAGAGTAGAGAGCTGCTGCTCCAGGCCAGCACCCAGTCCCGAGGGCTACCACTTTCTATGTCGCAGGTCCTCCAGGGTCCGCCCGGGTCTACTGAGGGTCTGTTGTGTGTCCTGAGGGTCTGTCGAGGGTCCTAAAGGTCTATCGAGGGTCTGTTGTGGGTCACTGCTTTCTATGTCGCGGGTCCCAAGGGTCTGTCATGAGTCGTTGGTTTCTACATCACAGGTCCGTTGAGGGTCCGTCATGGGTCCTGAGAGTCAGTCACGGGTCCTGAGAGTCAGTCATGGGTCCTAAGGGTCTGTCTTGGGTCACTGCTTTTGATGTTATGGGTCCGTTGAGGGTCTGTCATGGGTCCCAGTGGTCCTCTGAGTGTCTGTCAAGTGTCTGTCGAGGGTGTCAAGTGTCTTTCTTCATGAAGAGCTAAGGGCAGGGGGATCTGCAGAGTGAAGCCTGAAACCATCTTGGTGAGAGAGAATCTGACACTGTCCTCACACTTCTTATGGGCATTGACCACCGTTATATATGTGAGGAGACCCTCTTCCCAGGACAGGAACTCCAGGGGCCCAACTCCACCTGGGGACAGGGGCTTGCCAGGTGAAGAATCTTGTTAATTTTGTTATCACAGCAAATCTGATTCACAGGCATCACACGCCAGCTTATCCCCAGAGGCACATTTCCTGCATGAAGACGACGCTATGAAACAGCTGACATCTGTGCGGTTATAAACGGCATTACTACCTTAAAACTAAGTTAATTCAAATCTGTGCCAGCAGACAGACCTATCCAAGTCTAGTGCTCCTGGCTCCTTCAGAAGAACCTTGGTAGCGAGGGTGTTGGGTTGAGTGAGGTACCTGGGGCATGAATCCTTCCTAAAGATACTGAGCATGTGGAGTGCTCTGGGCCAGCAGGGATGTGCTTGGTAGAACGGCCTGCATGTAGGAGGCGCTCAACAGCACTTGCTATGTTAAACTGACTTGATTAGGTGCTAGATAACCACCAATAACCACCACAAATACAGCCGAGGGAGAAGGGCGTAGGTGGAGTGAAACATCCTGTACTGCATTTGTAGGAACTAATAATTAAGATTATCCTCAAATCAAAGAGTTGGACCCAAGATATTCACAGACACGCAATTGGGTTCACAATCAGGCTTTGCATGGAATTTACCCATGGCACAGATCAAGTTCTTCCAGCAATCTGGAAGGAAGTCTTTACTGCTCAGAATCTAGGAGATTCAGATAGAAAGCAACAGAGTTGTGTGTGTTCATCTGTACCAAGATTTCTTAACCCAGATGTGTATGAGGAAGGGTGTGCCTTTCCTCAGTCTAGCTCCATGGGGGTCAGAGCTCAGGGCCCTTTCACTTCCTAGCCCTGACGGTGCCTGGGACCCCCACCCTCCCTGCCTCAGTGCCACCCCCATGTCTCAGCGCCAACTGGGCCTGCTCTGGCCCCAGCTTCTCTACCAGGCTCTCTGTTTCTCAGCCAGGGACCCTGCACCAGCACTGAGACGTCCTCATCGTGAGAAGGGGGAACAGAGACAAAGGGACAAGACAGTGGGACCCTGTGGTGGGGACAGCCTTACCCAGGAGGACGGCTGGTTGGGACAGTGCAATGTGCTCGAACTGGAGTAGAGAACGTCGTCCTTGACCAGCACTGAGATGGCTCTCAGGATGAAGGACAGGAACAGGTTCAGATGGATGTAATTCCTGGTGCAGTGCAGCTTCCTGAGGTTGGGGAGTGGGGGAGAGAGGAATTGGTGGGGGAAGGGGAGGGAGGGAGAGAAAACCAGACAGAGATGAGAAACTCATACTATGATCAGAGAAGCAGAGAAAAATAGAAGAGTTGAGGGCAAGAAGCAGATTTCACCATGAATGGCAACTGCAATTTGCTGTGGCAGAGAAAAATGAAAAAGCTCTGTTAAGAATTTTTTTGAGATAATAAAAGTGGATGAGATGAAGAAATGTTTTTAGCAAATACATATTGAATTTGATAACAAGTTTCCTATTCAACAATTAAAAAACTGTTAAAATCCCAACAAAGGAGGTCAGTGAAAATGGTAGTGTAGGGACCATTCAAGAAACAACAACAACAACAACAAAGATACTCAAAGGCTTATGGCAACCAAGTGAACCCTTAGCTGGAGGGAAAGGCCCTGAACAGGCAGAGAGCATGTTGTATTTAGTTCACCTTTTGTCCACCCCACCCCAACATGGTGGTCATTTTGAAGACAGAAGCCCATGTTACTATTGTGGGTACTTGGTCCTGGAGGAATTTCATAAACCCAAGGAATTGTGTTTGTTTTGATCTTTCTGTGGGTTCTGGGCAAAAGACTCAGAATCCTCAGGCTGAGAAGTGGTTTTGCAGACATGCTGGAAGCTGAACGTATAAGCTCCTGCCACCTCAGGAAATACTTGGCAGTGGAGGCAAAAAACAGGCCCTCTGATAGCCTGAGAGGAAAAGCTGGGGAGTGAGAATCTTGGAGAATAAGGGCTTCAAGAAGCTCTCACATGAAGTGGGGAACCTAGAAATCCAGGTGCACGTTCAGGGCAGAAAGGACAAGGGAATCCCACAAGCTGTTATCTCAGGCTGCTCTTTAGGCTCAGCACAAGTAGGCAGCGAGGGCTAAGGCAGAGCTGCAAACAGGCTGGTTAAGCATTGAAGGAGTGTTCCCAACACAGAGCCAGCCTACAAAGGCCTAGAGAGGGCACTTTTTCTTTTCTTTCAGTTTTTTATCTCTTTGACTCCAGGTGTTTGTGGAAATCTCTGTCAAATAACTAGCTGATGACTGAGCTAAAAGTATATAGAGTCTTCAGAGACCACTAAAGACCAAGAGTCTTTATAAAAATAGCTTAGAAAATCCCTAAATAAACAACTACAACCTGCAGCAAGAAACAACAAATCCTAGAGGGGGGAGAATGTGATTCCAGAGTCATCACATCAGAATATTCAAAATGCCCAGTTTCAACAAAAAATATAGAGCAAAAAAAAAAAAAAAAAAAAAAAGAGAGAGAGAGAGAGAAAATATGACCCATTTATAGGAGAAAGAAAATGAATCAACAAAAATTATCCCTGAGGCATCACATGAAATAGATTTACCTTAAGTTTCTGACTTAAGGTCGTAGGCAACAACTTTAAATAAAGTGTCTTAAATATGCTTAAAAAGCAAAAAAACAAAACAAACAAACAAAACTCACAAAAAAACCACCAAAAAAAAAAAAAAAAAAACCCAAAAAATAACCAAAAAAACAAAACAAAACAATACAAAACCTAAAACAAAAAGCCATGGACAAATAAAGGAAACCATGAGAACAATATCTCAACACATAGACAATATTGATAGACAGAAATTACAAAAAGTAACCATGTAGAAATTTTGGAGCTGAAATGCACAATTGAACTAAAAGATTCACTGGTGGAGGCCAAAGCAGGTTTTTTTTCTTTTTTTTCTTTTTTTGAGACGAAATCTTGTTCTGTCACCCAGGCTGGAGTGCAATGGTGCAATCTCGGCTCACTGCAACCTCTGCCTCCCTGATTCAAGTGATTCTCCTGCCTCAGCCTTCTGAGTAGCTGGGATTACAGGCACCTGCCACCATGCCCAGCTAATTTTTGTATTTTTAGTAGAGATGGGGTTTCACAATATTGGCTAGGCCGGTCTCAAACCTCTGACCATATGTGATCCACCTGCCTTGGCCTCCCAAAGTGCTGGGATTACAGGCGTGAGCCACCGCACCCGGTCTGGATTTGAGCAGGCAAAATAAGTCATCTGTGAACTTGCAGCGAGGTCAAATGAAATTATCCAGTATGAGGAGCAGAAAGAAAACAAGGAATGAAGGAAAACGAGGAGAGCCCAAGAGCCTAAGAGACTTGTGGAATTCCATCAAGTGCACCAGCAAACGCATCGGGGAGTGCCAAAATGATGATCCTGAAGTCATGCGGAATTATGAGGGATCCTGAACGGCCAAAACAATCTTAAAAAGAACAAAACTGAAGAACTCACCATCTCAATTTCGAACTTACTACAGACTACCAAATAGTGTGGCACTGCATATAGATCAACAGCATAGAACTGAGAGTCCAGAATTAAACCTACACATCTATGGCCATTTGATTCTTGACAAGGGTGCCAAGGACATTCAATAGGGAAAGAATAGTCTTTTTAACGATTGGTGCTGTCATGACTAGATGTCCATATGTAAAATCATACAGCTGGACCCCTACCTCACAACATATTAAAAATTACTCAGAATGAATCAATGACCTAAACGTAAGAGCTAAAACCGTAAAACTCTTCTGAAAAAACATATGAGCAAATATTCATGACCTTTGGATTTCCTGTGTACTTGTGGTGTCAGCCACAACAAGTCTATTAGGCTCTGTTGGATTTCTTATGTTCTTATGCATGATACCAAAAGCACAGCAAGAAAACAACAGAAAAAGTGGACTTCATCAACACTGAAAACTTTTATGTATTAAAGGACATTACTAAGAGAGTTCAAAGAAAACCTACAGAATGGGAGAAAATGTCTGGAAATTAAATATCTGATAAGGATTAGTATCCAAAATACACAAATAACTCTTACAACTCAACAACAAAAACCCAATTAGAAAATAGGCAAAAACTTGACTATCGATTTCTCCAAAGAAGATACACGGTCAATAAGCACATAAAACCATAATGTGACATCATTGCATACCATTAGGATGGCAATAGTAATAATAATAATAAATTAAGAAAACAAAATAAAAAGTATTGGATGGTGTGAAGAAACTGGAACCCTCATATATTGCTAGTGGAAATGTAAAATGGTACAGTCGTTGTGGAAAGCAGTTTGGTGATTTCTCAACAGAGAATTACAATATGTCCCAGAATTTCACTTGTAGGTATACACCCCAAAGAGCTGGAAACAAGTATTCAAACAAAACATGTACATGAATGTTCACGGCAGCTCTATTCACAACAGGCAAATGGTGGAACAGTTCAAATGTCCATGAGCAGATGAATGGATAAACAAAATGTGGCATATCCACACAACTAAATACTATTCAAACATAAAGAGGCATGGAGTACTGACGTGGATGGAACTTGAAAACATTCTGCTAAGTAAAGACACCAGTCACAAAAGGCCACATACTGTATGATGCATCCAGAGGAGGCAATTCCATAGAGAAGGCAGATTCTGGTTTCCAGGAGCCGGGGGGGGGGGGATGGGGAGTGACTGCCTAATGTATAGGAGGCTTCCTTTTGGGACAATAGGAAGTTCGGGAACTAGATAATGGTGATAATTACACAACACTGTGAAGGTGCTTAATGCCAAGGAATTGTGTACCTTAAAATGGCACAAATGGTAAATTTTGTGTTATGGGTATTTTACCACAAATTTTGAAAATCCACCCTACCCCTCAAATTTTCAAACAATTATGGCCAGCTGTAAAACAATTTGGATTCTTGCATAAAAAAGAAAAATAATTTTTATCCAAAAGGATGTTAAATTTTTATTTCATTTATGGAAATTTTGTTAGAGAAATATAAAGAACAAACTAAGAAAGATATTTTACAAAAAGTGCAAATTTTCAATTAAGCCAAACTATTGCCCACAGAGTACAAGGCCTTTCTAATATTATTAAAGATCCTGGGCCAGGCACGGTGACTCATGCCTGTAATCCCAGCACTTTGGGAGGCCGAGGCACGTGGATCACCTGAGGTCAGGAGTTCAAGACCAGCCTGACCAACATGGTGAAACCCTGTCTCTACTAAAAATACAAAAATTAGCCAGGCTTGGTGGTGGGTGCCTGTAATCCCAGCTACTTGGGAGGCTGATGCAGAAGAATCGCTTGAACCCGGGAGGCAGAGGTTGAGATTGAACCCAGGTGCTTGAACTCAGGAGCCAAGATTGCACCATTGCGCTCCAGCCTGGGCAACACGAGCGAAACTTTGTCTCAAAAAAAAAAAAAAAAAAAATTATAAAGTATCCTTTAATTTAAAACTTGAAAACTTGCAAGTACTTTTCTTTGGTTTTTGATGAGTTGTGTGGTTAAGAGACACTCACTGGACAATTAATAGTTTGAATTCTTTAATTTCAGAGGAATTCCAAATTTATAAACAAATGTCAATTGATGGCCTAAAAATTAGAAATTATGGTGTAAATATTTTTTCATAGTTTCCATTTGTCAAAGAATTCAGTTATATATGAAAAAACTAGTTTCTATTATGACAGACACTGCTCCAGCTATGGCAGGTCAAAAATCTGAATTTATTGCAATTCATTTGAAATTTAAAACAAGGGACAGATATTTCCATTATTGCTTCATTCCACTGTATAATACTGTTGAAAATATTTGTGTTCCATTTTATGAAGCAGACTCTAGAAAAACCATCAAGAATGTAGTTGTTAAAATCTTTCAATATTTATGTGCAAAAGGTTTGAATCGCTGAGCATTTACACAACAGCTGAAAGAAACGAGACAATGAACTTAATGATCTAGTGTTCTTTACCAATGCTTGGGTGAGTCATGGAAGAATTTTACAATATTCACTCTATTGGTAACTCCAAGTGAAGATTTTTCTCAAACAATAAGTGCTTCCCAAATATCCAATTATCAAAGGCAAAATGACAATATAATTTATGTTTTCTCACTGCTATCCTGTTGATTTAGAAACCTTGAAGAAAAGAGAGCTCATTTGTGACATAGCTAGGTATGAAAAATTATGTGGAAATAAAAACTT